TCAGCAGGACTGGAGGTAAGGCAAAGCTTAGAATCCAGGATTGGAAAGCTTTCTTTCAGATTGGACTTAGCATCCCACCAAGGCAGCGGAGAAGCATCAGCTGGAAGAAGGACAGAGTGAGTTTTTTCCTAAATAAAGACAAGAAAGAAGAATAAATGCCAGAGAGAGAATGTGGTTATTTCTGCAAACTGGATTTGTGAAATTAACAAGCATTTTCATTAAAAAAAGTAGGTTAACCATTTTACTCAAACTTACACTGTGGCTAGGTGGAGAGCTCAAATGGTTGTTGTTGTTGGAATTTTCATTCAGGGATGCCAGGTCCATCCCATTACCCTCTGAATCCCCTTCTACCTCCACATCTTGTGTTTCCTCTCCTCCACCTCCTTCCCCACACCCTCTGTCATCTGGCTGCATTAGTACCTCCATCTCTGCCTCCTCCTTTTGCACCTCTTCCTCATCCTCCTCCTCCACTGTACTGAACTCCAGCCGCAGTCGCAGCTCCTCCAGAGGCTCAGGGCACCGACTGCAGGTCTGGGCAGCGGTTCCCTCTGCTGTAGGCCCAAAGTGGGGGAGAGGCAGGCCTTCACGCCCATCAAATGCCTCATCATCCAGTAAAGCATCTCGCTCTACATCCTCGATTTCTATAAAGACCTTTTCCATGCCAAGAAGGGGGGGACCACGCACAGGCGTCGATGGCTCACTGTCCAGCGCTGAATCAGAAAGTCGGCGGAAATAGTAGTTGTTGTAGGCAGGGTCAATCTCCAGAGCAACAGTCCTGCATGGGGAGCGGCATGCTGCACCTCTATCAGACAACACCTCCTCACAGCAGGGAGACATCCCTGGCTCTTGAGTCAAGTGGCCTCCCTCCTCCCCTCCACAACACTGAGCCAACCCCTGCTGCCCCTCTGCCATCTCACAGTCTGTGTCTGGATGCCACAGCTTGTTATGTCGCTGTTTGCTGAAAATATAAAAACACAGTGTGCAGAGGTCAAAGACCAGATAAACTGAGGAAAAAAAAAACAACTACCAAACAACACTGCACACACTCATCTATGTGAGAAACTGTACCTGGCATCCAAAATGCCCTCGTACTCTGCCAGCTGCCTCATGAAACCTGGGTTGGGTCGTGTGATGCTCCTCTTCTGCTTAACAAAGTTGTAAGCTTTCTCCAGTGACCAGCTGTACTCCTTCATGGCATAAGCAATGACTGTGGAGGCAGACCGGCTGACACCCATCTTGCAGTGAACTAGACACTTGGAGTGGTTCTTTCTGTGGACGAGAATTATACATGCACACGCGCAAACACACAAACATAGCCATTTATGACCAAATTGTTCTACGAACTATGGAGCCACAAATTCATCTGATAATGTATTGACAACAATCACCGTGTTGTTCTTACTGTGCAACTACAAACTGATGAATACTAATGTTCAACTTCATTATGCATTGGCTTGGCTCCGTTTATTCATTTTAACTCTGGATATTAATGTATATTTTAAAGTTTCTAAATCAAAGACTCAATGAAATGTGAAAAACAAGATTGAAACAACTCAGACAGTACAATTCTCTTCTTGAAACTACAACATGTGGAAAATTCCTGGATTAACTCTCCAATGTGATCTTTACATTCTTTTTCCAAAATAGTCAAGTAACTGTGGAAAATTACATCTTAACAATTGGACAGTTCATAGTCAAAAACAAGCCCGCTGTGCTGACAAGCTGCCTTTGTAGAAAACTGATAAATACATGAGTAACATGGCTCACTTTGCTTTAACAATGAAGTTGTATGTGTCATTCCAGTGAGCCAGTAGGTCAGTGGCCTCTTCATCATAGACACGTATGTTGTGATAACTGAATGTGCCTGGAAAGAAGTTGTCTATTTCTCTGGTAACATTGAGGATATAGCCCACCCTGGGGAGGAAAGATAACATTAACTCATCAACAAAATTCTTTCTTGGTCAGATCATAATGAAAATGTTTTGTGTGGTTATCTTTGCTCCTCCATAACATCAAATAAATAACCCTGTCTCTTGCAGCTCTTCCAAATTAGATGCATTCCATTCAGATCCCTAAAAACAAATGAGAGAAAAAATATTTAGGCTGAGTATATTTTCAAATCTTTGGAAGATTCTTTCTCAAAAGAAAATTGCACAAGGAGGATGACTTCCATCCTTTGGGATGGAAAGTAAAGGGGATGATTTTATCTCAGGTATTAACAGGAAACAACAGAAGTTAATAGATGTTCTTGTGAATGTAAGAGTATCAAATGTCCAACCAGGTAGACATGGTCAAAGATGAGAGTAGCTTTGTCCATCTGGCCCAGGATCAGCAGCATCTCATTGTCAATGAACTCTTTGTACTCTTTCAGGTTGCAGTTCATGTGCTGCTCCAACTCTGTCCGGATCTGACAAAACATTATACAGCATAACTCGATTTTTGCATGGAGTTTTTTTTTTTATTTATTTATTGCTGTTATGAGCTACAGGTTCACAGTTAGTGATTTTTTTTCCTAAAAACTATACAAATGTTCTGTAGACTGAAACACAACAGTGCCAGAGTTTGGGTGGGTAAAAACACTGGCAGGTAACAACGTAAGAGTACAAATCTGATTATTTCATTTGCAGTTATTTCAGTGTGTGCACGCTATTATTTACCTGTTTGCAGGTGACGTTTTCGAGGTCCTGGCATGTCATGATGCTTCTGAGCTTGGCTTTAATAAGGCACTCTGTCCTCTCTCTCACCGAGGGCCTACAAAAGATTAAAATCTCAGCACTTGCTCAATAAAAGTGTTTCCTGAAATGCCAAGCTATTTCAGCAACAGGTATAGGAGTGATTAGGTTCAGGCTTTACATAATGAATCTGATCTTATGTTTACTGACTTGTCAACAAACATAGTAGGTGAGTCTGGCCGTGTGGTTTCCAAGTCCTTCATGGCGTTCCACTCGTTGATGCAGCTCTGGTCTGAAGCAATGCAACTCTCATAGTAGCCCATCCAGGTTAGAGCCATGCCTCCAGGGAAGTAGTTATACCTCCGTGACACCTCGCATGCCTTGTGCAGCACCTGCAAGGCTGACCTTTATTTAGAAAAATAAAGTTACAGCTGTTGATAGCTTACCGATTCAAGTCTGGTTTTATGAGCTATATTAGTAAAACCAAAAGACTGTAGTATTTGCAGTCTGGGTTAATGCAATGCTGTGCACATGCGTCTTCATGTCAGCAGGTGGCACAATGACTCAACACTGCCTCACCCTGCCTCCCTGCAGCAAAGTGTGTCAGGATTTACTGTGGTGTGTCATGATGCCAAAACACCGTAGACTGTTTATTACTCACCACATAGCCTGCACCGACACAGGTTTGAAGACATGAGTCCGACCTGCCGTGTTCACAGTAAAGCCCCTGAGGACCAAACAAAACAGATGGTCACTCCCTAGGCTGCAGCACCAAGTGTATCCAAGTGTCTGGTGTGGATGCAGTGTCAGGTAAAATGTAGAGGAATATCAGTGGATTAATGCAATGTGCTCTCTGTCCTCACAGCAGCGCAGCAGGGGTCACACTGACAGAGAACTCACCCATCTCCATCCAAATGGATCTTTGTGTCACTCCACAGAGGTAGCACCATGCCGATCGAACAGCTTTTGCTGGCAGAGGAGAGTGAAAATTAAAAACCAGGCAAATAGTCAAAAATGATACATAAGCAATGTCGATAACATACATTTGATTTTCCACATTAAACACCTGCTTTACATTATAGAATACCTGGGTGAATGTTTTTTTAAATCAAAACAGTTCTCCAGCAAATTAATTCAGGTATTGTACAAAGTCTCGAGCAACCCTACTCAGACCAGTCCAAAGGTTCATATACAAGTAACACAAAGTTAATGAAAATATCAACTCATAAATGGAGCTCTCATAAAACCTGAAACACTGGGCTAATTCGTACCAGTCTTTGCTGGTAAAGTCTATTCCCAGTAGGATGTTCTCTTCTGTGTCTTGTCGCCCGCTGGTGTACACCACCACCATGTACCGCACACGATCTGACCATGCACTCTCCAGCCGCACCGCCTGTAAAGGGTACAGACAAATTTACTTCAAAATGTTTTCTGTACTGACCTGTCCAGGGTGTACCCCCGTAACCCTATTCAGGATAAGCGGTATATAAATAATGGCTGGATGTTTTCAGTATTGTAGTACTACCAAAGAGCTACCACACCAAAATAAATTCCCTTACTATTAAATGGAGATGTTGTTGGCTATGTAATAACCCTTGACATACAAATGTTTACTTTTAAATATGCTGTTTATAGGAACTAATATAATACATGTTAAGAACAATTTCAGTATATCAGCCTACAAGTATGTGGGATGAATCATTGTTAATTCTAATAAATCTAGTGAGACTGGCCTGTGCAAAAGGATGTACTCTCTGAGTGTACATAACAGAAGCTCAGGAAAAGCAACAATTGATCAACTGACTCTCCTGCTTAAATCGGCATCCAACAACGTGTCACAGCTTGATGTGCAAAGAAAAACAGAACTCAAACTTGATGTTTTTGTTTAATTGAGTCCCCCGGACACATGAGACCACAGAGTTGGTAAAGAGAAAATGAAACAACTCACACACACACACCATGGAAACATTTGGTAATGCTCCCCAAACCTGCTCTTATGAGCCAATACGTTACACAATATAAGGCATTCTGGTGAGTTTGCTGTGCCAAGGTTGTTAGTCACTGGCATTTCTGTGTGTGTGTGTGTGTGTGTGTGTGTGTGTGGATGTTTTAGTTTTGATGTATGTACATGCTCGTCTCTTACCAGTTTGATTCTATCCTCTGAGCGAAGAATATTTATCATCACCTGCAGGTGTTGAGGTAAGTCACCTGTTGAAGAAAATTATAAAGGAAATTAATCCATGATGACCAGCAGCTGTTTAGTGTTTACCATATCATACATATTAATCCATTTTGACTTGAAAGAGAAGACACAAGAAAGTCTATTTTACTCTGACAACGCAGAAAATTTAAGGCATGCTGGGGACACAATGATCTTATATAATTAAGGGCATTGCTGTAGTCTAGTGAAGGCACATGAACTTAGACTGCTCCCTAGTGTTCAACACTAACACCAAAACAAAAGCCTCCTTCTGAAAACAATAACATATTCAGTGATTTATAGGCTGGCATATGTTGCTAACTGATTGAAGAAAGCAAAATAATGGACATGCACATTCACAAAACTTTACCAGGTGCTGGATCAACAACAATCTAAAGACAAAAAAAACCTGCCCACTGCATTAAAATCGCTGAAAGCTTAGTGCAGTGTGCAGATGATCTGACTGATTGAAGACAAGTGAGTCAACAACTCCATCATTGCATCAGCAAATTTATTTGTCATCAAAACACAATTCAAAAAAACTAGTCTTTGCTCACTGTGCATCTGTCAGTGCTCCCTGTGCCAAGATACAGTATGTCAGTGAAGCTGGATGTTGAAACAGGGTGTGGAGATGGTCCAAGAACAATGCAAAGTAGTAGCTGATGGTTAGCCAGCTGTGTTGAAAGATGTTCCAGTGGGTCAAACAGACAAATCATGACATCCTGACTGGTTTCACCTACAGCTACTAGCATGAAGGAGAACAGAAAATTACCTGACACTAAGTCATAAACTAATGTTCATATGTGGTGACTTCAATATAGATTTGTTAAATCCTAACAAGCACACAGGAACAGAGGAGTTTATTAACACAATATACAGATGCAGTTTATATCCAAAAATTACAAAACCAAGTAGAGTAACAACTCAGCATGCAACATTAATCGATAATATATTTACCAATGTTCTGGATAGTAAAATGACAAGTGGATTACTCATAAATGATATTAGTGATCATCTACCAGTATTTGTGGTTTATGAGGGCCAGTATAGAAAAGAGAGGCCTAAAACAAATTTTTTCTA